TGTTTGTTTATTTATGGCTAGGAGGAAATATATGAGAATTTCAGAAATGGCAATCTTAGAGTTGTGATGTTGTCACTGATCTCTCTTTCTTTTTTTTTTTTTTTTTTTTTTTTTTTTTTTTTTTTTTTTTTTTTTTTTTTTTGCTTTGTTTTATTTGGGGGTTTTATTTTAGTTAATGAGACAGAGACTTACTCTGTAGCCCAGGCTGGCCTTAAGCTCACTATATAGGCCTTGAACTCACAGCCATTCTCCTGTTTTACCCTCTCTAGTACTGAGATTACTACAGGCATGAATGACCATGTCTGCTATTATTACTGAGTTTTCCTTTCTATAATCATGTTATTATTTTTATCAGGAAATTTTTGTTCATTTGTTTTTCAGTGTTAGAGATCCAACCCAGGACTTCACACATATGAGGCTGTACAGCTGAACTGCATCCCTGGCCCAAGGGGAAATATGTGAAACCAGTAAACCAATAGGTGCTGGGTGTGGCCCTGTATAGCAGTTATTCCAACATGAGAGATGCTAAGCAGGAGGATCTGGAGTTTGAGGTTAGAAAATAAAACCAAAAACCAAAGCTAAAGCCCAAAACCAACATCCGACTCAGATTATTGCCTGACTAGCAGACAGACAACATCTGGAAGTCTGAGCATAAGAGGTTTTTTGTTTTATTTTGTTTAAAACCAGGACTTGAACTTCCTGCCTCTGCCGCTGGAGTGCTGATTACAGGTGTGAGCCACCACACCTGGCTCTGGCTCACCTTTACGTCTGAAAAATGGGGCTGGGATGACTTACATCGCCTTATCTTTGATCATTATCTTAGTAATACAAAGTTATTCACTGCCTTGAAGCCACACTAGGGTTATGTTCAAGTGTTCTGATGAGCTGAAAGTATTTATGACAGGCTCTGTCTACAGCCCAACTTTGACTTATATGTGTGTGTGTTAGGACTGAGCCTAAAGTCTTGCTAGGCAAAGGCTATAGAGATCACCAAGCTATATCTCCAGCCCTGTTTTTGCTTTTGAGACAGGGTATCACTAAGTTGCCCACACTGGCCTTGAACTTGTGATCCTGCTATCTCAGCCTCCTGAATGGATAGAATTATAGGCCTGTGCTAGCAAGCCTGTCTTACATTGACTCTTACTAGAAGTGCTGCTGTGGGCTGTGGATGTATTCAGATGATAGAGTATTTGCCCCAGACGTGATCCCTAGCATCATGTAAACTGGGCATGGTATAGCACACCTATAATCTTAGCACTTGGGAGGGGAAAAAGCAGTGTTCTTGTGTATAACTGCTGCCCTTTTGCAAGAGGCTCTGGTGTACGCAGGGGATAGTGAAGGCTATGGTTCTAATCAACTATGGAAATTCTGCAATGCTGTTAAGTTACTATTTTTAAAGTCTGTGCGTGCTCATGCGCACACTAGGCAAAGGGCAACCTTCCCTGTCATCCTCAGGAACACCGTCCACTTTGAGACAGGATCTCTCACTTGCCTGGAGTTGATCAGTTAGGTTAGACTGGCTGGTGAGCGAGCTCCAGGGCTCCTCTTGTCAGCCTTCCCAGTGCTGAGGTTAAAGGCATGCCACTATGGCTGGCATTTGTGTCTGGGTTCTGGTGATTAAACTCGGGTTCTTGCACTTGCAAGGCAAGCACTTTGCCGACTGACCTTTCTCCCCAGCCCAAGTTATTTTTCTTTCAATTTTATAGCAAAGCAGACAATAAAGCTTCAAACTCCAAGCCTCAGACTCCTGGGTATTCTTTTGAATTCTTATGGACTCCTTTGGAGATGTTCTGTGAAAAGAGTCAATGGCCGAAGGGAATGCTGTGCTAATACCACACTAGTTTGGACTTCGTTCTGTGTTCAGCCACTGAATAGGGTAGCGCCCTTAACTTCTTTCTTGTATCGTTTGCTTATTTCAAAAAGGTAATTTTTATTTATTTTAAAATTTTATTTTACTCTGTGTGTGTGTGTGTGTGTGTGTGTGTGTGTGTCTGTCTGTCTGTCTGTATGTCTGTCTGTACAATGTGTGTGGGTGTCCATGGA